GCCTGTCCCGGAGAGGACTGGACAGTGCACAACACGTTTTTGGGGTAAAGTTCAGGACAGGGAGTGTGCTGGAGTAGCCCAGGTCTGATGGAAACCAAAGTGTGATTGGTGAGTTCTGACCGGCTGCTGGGCCAGCACCGTTAACCATCCACAGACACTCATGGGGAGAGCAGGGGAGCTGCACGCTGACAGGCTGTTTGTGAGCGACCTAAGTCAGAGGTTACAACAGTGAAGCCCCTCATTGGTCTGGATTACACCCTGGAACATCATACCCAGCCCATAGCGAGAGTCCCTTAGCTGTTGTAATGCTATAACATGCTCCCCAGAAGAATCTGTTACTTTGCTGTTGAGTGCGTTGGAGTGAGCTCACCAGGTACAGTAACAAGGGCAAAAGGAAGGCCGGGGGGGGGGGGGTAAGGTCTAGACAAGGCTGCTCTTCCCTCTCTGAAATGATGTAGTGAGCTTCCAAACCCGCACTATACACCCCACTCCTTAAATACTCTGTCTTCATTCAGGTGTTTACATACACGTGACACAGCTACAGAGAGATGTTCACAAATTGATCTGCTCTGCTGTGCTGATTACCTGAACTGGCCACCCTTTCCAATTATCTCCAGGAAATGGAGTTTCATACCTTTTAATTCTGTACTTTTCAAGAAACCTTCATATCTTACTCTTATAACACTTCCTAGGGTTTTATTGCGACTCTCATTTACCATATTTAATACATTATTAAAAAACAAAACATCATCATGTTCATGTGACTTCTCTGGTACCTGAATTGCTGCTTGGCACAAATGTGTACTTCTGGACCAGGGGAAGGGCAAACAGCAGTTGCTCCTGTGAAATCTCTTTCTTAAATTTACACACAAGTAAAACAAGATTTTGCTAATTTAGAAAAAAATGTATTAAATTAGAAAAGTCTCATTTTATGAGTGTCCCCATTTAAAATAGAGATTTCACCAAAGTTGAAAGTCTGACAAAGTCCAACTCATCTGTCAAAACTCACTCCCCCATAGACCCAGGAATGGGAAATTGTGGGTGTAGCAAGTGGTGACAGGGCAGCCCCCCCCCCCCCCCCAAAAAACCAAAAAACAAACAAACAAAAAAACCACCCTAGTTGTCTAACTGCTAGTGGTAGGAAATTGGGATGTTGCAATTTGTGATGCTACATCCCTATCGCAACCTCGTCTCCCCCGCTGAGCCAGTTTTGTACCCTGGAGGTAGTCACTATGGCATAACAGTGCCATGGTTCTACAGAGAAGATGGGGCCATATTTCCCACTCCTGAGTCACTCGGGTCCTCACCTGTTTGGGTCAGCTGTGCCCTGGGCTCAATCTCCAGCTGGAGGCTGGGTGAGGGCAGGTGGAGTTTGCTGACCTCAGGCTCTGTGCTGAGTAGGCTGCTCTGAGTACAGGATGTGAGGAGGTTTGAGGGACATCCTGGCTGGGGCATTGCTGGCCAAGGAGGATGAGACCTGCGGCAGGCTTTGGAGCAGGTGGTTCAGCAGCCAGAAGTCCACATGGTTGTACATCCCTGAGCAGCAGGTTGTGCACTGGATGTAGCACCAGTGTAGCGCTGTGGGGCCAGGCTCTGCTGTGTGCTAGCTGCAAGAGACAAGGCACAGTCAGAGATGGTGCAGGAAATGGGGGCCCGGAGGTGACAGGGCGAACAGCCATGAGCTGAACTCACCAACTTGCCAGCCTGTGACATCACCATCCATCCCTTCAGCCCTCTGTCCAGCCCTTCAGCTACCCATACATCCCACTCTATGTCAGACACACCCCTCCATCCATCCATATGCCTTATACACTCATCTCCCACCAAATGCATCCCTCTGTCTCTGATTGTCCGTGCAGTGCCAAGCACAATGAGACCTGGACCCTGAGCAAGGCTTTTGGGTGCTGCAGTAATGGAGCTATGGGGTGATAGCGTGGGTCTGGGCAGCTCTAGTCCCAGCCCCACTTCTTTGAAAACCCAAATTCTCTACAAAGATGGGGTGTGGGAGGAGCACCCCCCTGAGCCCAGCAGGCCACACGCATCCTTCCCAGTATGGCAGAGACCATGCCCATAGGCAGATAGATCCTGCTCGGCCCATGGGAGACTGAGGGGAGACTGAGGGAAGAGGGTGCATGCCACTGAGCATGACAAGTGACGTGGACTCTTCCCCAGAGCAGATGGATCCAGCCTGGAGCATGGGAGGCGGCCAGGTCATTACCCAGCATGTGGCCCTGTTGCAGGCTCTCCACATGATCTCCAGCATTTTGGCTTTCTCTGCCTTGGGTTGCCATGAGGAGTAGGGGCAGGCACCAGGTGTACAGGGATTTGGGGGCTCAGTGTCTGGGAGCGGTGTCAGGGATACAAGGAGCTTTAGGGAAGGATGCAGACACCTACATCTGGGCACAGGTGGGAATTCCAGGTGGATTAGACAATAAGCACACTCATACTGGGTCAGACCAATGGTCCAACTAATCCAGTATCAGGCAGTGGCCAGTGCCAGATGCTTCTGGCAGTTGAAGGTTTAGGGACACCCCACAGCAGGGGGTTGCATCTCTGACCATCTTGGCTGAGCGTTGTTGATGGACCTATCCTCCAGGAACTTAGCTAATTCTTTTTTTAACCCAATTATATTTTGGCTTTCACAATAGCCCCTTGTGATGAACTCCACAGGTTGACTGGGTGTTGTGTGAAGAAGTACATCCTTTAGCTTTAATTTGGAGATATACCTATCTCATAGAACTGGAAGGGAACTTGAAAGGTCATCGAGTCCAGTCCCCTGCCTTCACAGCAGGACCAAGTACTGTCCCTTATTTCTGCCCCAGATCCCTAAATGGCCCCCTCAATGATTCAACTCAAAACCCTGGGGTTAGCAGGCCAATGCTCAAACCACTGAGCTATCCCTCCCCGCAGACTTGTGTGAAACCTGCTGCCCATTAATTTCATTGGGTGGCCTCCTGATTCTTGTGTTACGTGAGGGGTAAAGAACACTTCCTTATTCACTTTCTTCCACCATTCCTGATTTTATGGACTTTTATCGTAACCCCCCTTAACTATCTCTTTTCTAAGATGAACAGTCCCAGTCTTTTTGATCTTTCCTCCCATAGAAGTTGTCCCAATCATTGTGGTTGACGCCCTTCTCTGCACCTTTTCCAATTCTAATATATCTTTTGTGAGATGTAGTGACTAAAACTGTATGCAGTATGTATAGTTAGAATTATGTTTTCCAGTGGGAATTACTCTGCACTTATCAACACTGAACTTTATCTGTCATTTTGTTGCCCAGTCACCAAGTTTTCTGAGGACCCCTTTGTAACTCTTCACTGTCAGCTTTTTCAAGATAGTTAAGTCTCTTTCCAGAAGTTGATAGGTTGTGAGAACTGCTATGATGAGGCATAGTGGGAGAGTCCCTCTCTGTGATAATATATAGATCTCTTATAGATCTGACTATACAAAAGTAGAGTTAGTTAGGCCAAAAAAGAATTTGTAGAGCAACTTGCAAAAGACAGAAAAACTAACTGTAAAAATTATTTTAAGTCTATCAGAAGCAGGAAGCCTGACAAACCAACAGTGGGGCTACTGGATGATCAAGATGCTAAAGGAGTGCTCTTGGAAGACAAGGCCATTCCAGAGAAGCTAACTGAATTATTTGCATTGGTCTTTACTGCAGAGGATGTGATTCAGAGGATCTGAGCCATTCTTGCTTGGTGACAAATCTGAGGAACTGTCCCAGACTGAAGTGTCAGTAGAGGAGGTTTTGGAACAAATTGATTAATTAAATAGTAATAAGTCGTCAGGATCTGGTATTCACCCAAGAATTCTTAAGGATCTCATATATGAAATCGCATAACTGCTAACTGTGTTACGTAAAGGAAGGCCCTCACATACCCTTTTTGACTGCCACTGCACAATGATCTAACAGAATGTTAGAAGCCATTAGTAAAGGGATAGATGAGCCAGAAAATATCCTAATGCCACTAAATGAATCCATGATTCGCCCACACACTGACTACTGTGTGCAGTTCTGGTCGCCCGATCTCAAAATAGATTCATTAGAATTGGAAAAGGTGCAGAGAAGGGCAACCGCACTGATTATCGGTATGGAAAAACTTCCTGCCATAAATATAAAGGGAAGGGTAAACCCCTTTAAAATCCCTCCTGGCCAGAGGAATCTCCTGTGACTGGGCTGCTCCACTAGCTTGGACGAGTCCTCTGCAAGCACAGCAAATAACCAAAAAAAGAGCCATCGCTACCCAAACCCTGTGCTGTGGTGTGAGCTCCTGCCCTCCAGCGCCTATCCGCACTACAGCACACCCACTAGATTAACAGAGACATAGTCAACAACGATGGGTCACTTGGCTGGTCAATCCTCAACACTAACACCCTGTAGCTAACACGATCCCACCCCATCTGTTAGCAGATTTGCCCATTACTTTGGGGTATGCTCATTTATTAGGGTTACTCTTCTGGGGAGGGGGTTCTGTAATTCTATCAATGTACTGCTTGTGTCACTTGTGTTCTCATACAGAGCTCTACTTCTGCAAGTTCCCTCCCAATGGAGCTTCCAGCCCCAGAATCAGACGAACACACACATTAACAGAGTGCGTCTGAGAGGATCGGGTTAATCAGGACTCCCAAGCTGACCCCTTATATGTCCCTGGACTCAGTAGGCTGGATTGAGCAGCACCTCCAACCTGTCACCCTCCTATGCCATGTGCACTGCAGTGAAATAGAGTATGCCTGATCAGGCTGGGTTGAGCAGCACTTCCAAGCTGCCACCCTCATATGCTCCAGGTTCAGCATGTTCCTATCCCCACTTTCATGTTACAATTATTCTGGTAGTAACCCACTTGATGAGAAAACCCCAAAGGATTTTTGGGCAGTGCAGGGATCTTTAGCTTAGGTACGAGGAGCGCTGCTGCAGATCTAATGAGGAAGCCAAAAAACACCTATGAGGGGGAGAGAGAGAGAGAATCAACCAGCTTAACCATGAAAGTTATTTATTGCCAGGTAATAACCGTAGGGGAGCCAAACAAACAAAAGTTATAATATTAAATCTAACTTAAATTTGATGATAAAAGTCAGGTTTAGAAAACTATAACTGATTACACAAGTCAGGGTCAGAAGACTATACTGAAAGAGAGAGAGACAGCGTGCACGTGCGCTGAGTTCTCACCACTCCATGAAGTTTGAATCGATCGGTGGTCCCAGATGGTGACGGTAGCTGAGGGTCCAGAGCGTTGAAGACAGGCAGAATCCCCAGCAGAATCAGTAAGGAGAAGATGAAGTCCTTATGGAACTGATGCAGATTTTGGATCCAGGCATCAGAACGCTTACTTGAGCATGGGTAGGGGTTTGTGTAGGGAAAGAACAGTGGTTCAAGAGAGAACACTAGATTTGTTTATGGGTAAACTGATGGCTCAAGGGAGTATACCAAAGTTGTTTTGTTCAGGCTAGACAATAGGAACTGATCATTCCTGGCTGTGGGCGGTGTTCCTTGCAGGGAGCTCACAATACAGTTAGACAGCTTCAGTATTTAAATACCAATAAAGGATTTATTACTGGAATTGGTCTAGTAACTACTGAGCTGGGTGTGTGCAGGCCTGGGTTCAATAACATCTGGAGCAGAGATTCCCCATCATCCAGTGCTTTCCTGGTCCCAGAGTTCCGTGCAGTTCTTGCCTTGGAATCTCTGCTCTTCATTCTGTACGCTAATGGAGATGCCTCTCTGTCCCATCTCCGATGCAAATGAGGCTAGGGGAGTTTCCTTAATCCTGTCAGGTGTGTGTCTTCCACAGCCTTTTCATTGCTTTTTGTAAGTCCTTCTTCTGATCCATTTTGATTCAAGCAGAGGCTGGGCGGGTGGGGGAAGGTCTTCCTTGAGTCAGACAGGCTGGCTACTGCGTCCTGGTTCCCCAAGAACACAGAGCTGACAGGTAACACATCTATATGGGGTTATTGACACAAACTACATTAAAAAGCTGCTAATAAATCATTGAGCAGATAACCATCAGCACCACATTCTACAACAGGGTTCTCAAACTGGATGTCACAACCACTAAGGAGGTAACAAGGTTATTATGGGAGGATGCGAGTCAGGGACAGGACCATCCTCTGCCAGGTGATGGGGGCTGAGGTGGGTTACACCAGTGGTGAAAAACTGGGGGGCACACCTGAGGCTCTCTGGGGGGTCACAAAGAAACTTTTCCAATAGGGGAATTCAAAGTCCTTTCAGACCTGTTGGCTGCCATCTCCAATACCCTTGCCACTTCCCAGTGGCTGGTAGGAAAATCCAGGCCCGCCCTCAACACTGGGTTCCAGCCCAGGCACCCTGTGACAAGCAGCCAAAGTCTCCACATGGTCTTACCCCTTGCTGCTGTTTCCCTGGACTTCTTCCTACTTATCTGGCTTCCCTCCACTCTGGGTTTGCCAACCTCCCAGCTCCCTCCATTCAGGAAGTGGCTGCAATCTATTTCCCTGTCTTCCTGCAGCTGCTTCCCTCTGCTTTCAGCTCTTGCGCTTTACATTGGCCCCTCCTGTTCCTGCCCAGGTGATTCTGCTTCCAATTAATCCCTGCTCCCTAGATCCTCCTCCAGATGCAGCCTGTGGGGTTAATTAGCCTACCTGGTCACCTTAATCCCTCCTAGTACTTTGTTAGGTGGTCACCCCATCACAGGGGCACTAAGTCTGCTGTGAAGAGTGATATATGCATGTTTGTGACTATCACGTTTCACAGACTCCCAGCCACCAAGTAAATCTACTTTGAAAGGTGAGATTTGTATTTTTGTTAATTTCACTTTTTACAGCAGAGTTACTAGTACAGAGTTCTGCCAGCAGCAGTGCAGAAGGAATGGTGGCAATGGGGCGCTAAGTCTGCAGTGAAAAATGATATTGACAAAACTTCTTTGTGCCCGCCCCCCGCCCCAGTATTAAACAGTAACTGGTTAAACATTTTTTTTCTACTTATAAAAATAATTCGATAAAAATGTGTTTTATCATTACTTTAAAAGTGGTTAGAAAAGGTAAATTAATTTTAAACAATAGGATTATAAATTTAGCATTTAAAATAGTGTTAAATATAAAAATCTGTTTTTCATTAATAAGGGGGTCACTCTCAGATGCTTGCTGCCTGAAAAGGATCGCCAGTACAGAAAGTTTGTGAACCCAAGCTCTAGTCACCACCTGGATCCAAGCTCGCCCTGGGGAGGACATATTATACCCTGCCCTGGATATTAACATCCCTATCCTGCAAGCAGCTATCTTCCTCTGTCCCCTGACACACAGGTGATCAGGAACCTTCTTGCTAACCCAGTTCCACCTAATACAGGAAGGACCTATCTCCAGTCAGGAGGGCTGGACTCAAAGCTCTAACTGAACAGTTTCTCAGGGATGCTTGCAACTGCTCTGCTCCCAGCTGGACTGTTGTTACCTGGAGCCATCTATGCCAAACAGAATGGACTTCCCTGGTCTCCATCTCTCAGGTCTAGGTTCAGGTCCTCCTATGGCAGGAAACAAACCACAAAAGGAAAGTTATTGCCAGAGACCGCATTGCCACAGGCTGATGCTCTTGCTTCTCTAAAAGGTTCTGTCTGACGCTCCCCACAACAACACTCCCCCAACAGTCATAGCTACAATGAAGGGGCAGCTGGATGTTCCTGTACTGTGAAAAACAGCGTCCAAAATAGTCACCGCTCACAGGAGACTATTGGCCCTCTTCCTTCTGTAGCCTGATCTATAGATTATGAATAAAAATTCCCAGTTATCACTTTGAGGGTTGACAGGTTCTTATCCCAAGATCAGGCCCAGTATTATTAAAATTATTATATAGTTGGGAACACCGATGTGCACAGGTACAACACTCACACTATAGGAATGCTTTTATATTTACATATAAATAATTTATTAATACATTTTGCAAAGTCACACACTCTAACTCAATAAGGTAGATAGAGATAATACAGGAAGTACATTAAAATATCCATACTCACACCATCCCTTTCAGCACAATCTGAAAAGTTAGCCATCATCTTCCTCATCTTCATCAGTGGCCATCACTCTGGCCCTTCCCAAGGGCTACATCTCTCTCCCATACTGCCCTGGGATGCCACTTTTATAATATGTTACGCTGACGTTTCTATGTCTAATGCATATTAAATAGGAGTTTCTCCCCTCTTCCTTATTTGTATTTCCTCCCCTTACCAATGTTAAGGTGTCCTTCTTCTATAGGTTAGTGTATTTATGATTTCACCCAATTATCATATATGTCAATTTGTTGCCATGGCACTTTTGCGGTTGGATGTTCCACCCAAAACTTTCCAGAAGCTGGTGTTAGTTCATGTTCTGTGGTTGGCTCATGTGATTATGGACAAAATTCCCCCCTGCACTCTACTTCCAGTTCCCCAAAACTTATGAGTTACCTAAATTTATCTATGCCAAAGTTCATAGGCCTCAAGCGTCATGCTAACTGCTGAAGCCAATGTCTTACAGGATACAGGCCTGTAGGTTCTTTGCATTACTGCTACATATAATAAATGTATAATAATGCAAAGCAGTGAATATAATAGAGGTAAGATGGCCTACTGGGCCACACTTCTCTTTATGCCCAGAGAGGACCGTCACTTGCTAGTAGGCTCATGTTCTCTGCAGGAAACCAAGATCAAGTACAGAGAAGGAGAAAATGGAAACCAGTGACTCAAACCCAGTAATGTTTAAGAGGAGACAGGCAAGGGCTGAGCATCTCTGTTTACAGGCAGGTCACTCTCCTGGGAACCAACCTTCCTCCAGGGAAGACATATGCCCTGTTTTGACTGTTGGGCCTGCAAAGTTTTGTAGAAACAATAGTATCAAAGCAATTCTGTTGTGCAAAGTAAATGAACAGACAGTAAACACAGCACTGACATGACCAACTTCAATCATCTTCCCAGATAAAAAATGTTTAACCTTGTCTTAAAAGAAAAATACAATATACAGTTATATAATTTTTAGCCCTGGTTTTTAATTCAAAGACATATTTTAAGCCCCACATTAGCTACCAGTATAGGGTAATTATTATTTGAAATTTATACCCATTAAAGAGCTTTGGTTACTGCTTCAAAACTAGTTTAATTTGATTGGTAATTTATAAGAAATTTATTAATAATCTGGAGCTTCCTTGGAAGTTTTTATTACTGGAGGAAGTAATAATCACCAGTAAAACCCAGTATCTGCATTTTAATTTCATGTGTTACTTTCCACATTATCTTGATTCATGAGACTTTTTGGCCACTTGTTTAAATATTTAGTACAAATCAAGCAATTTTATGTACTTATGCAGTGTGACGGGCTGGATCACAGAAACCCGCTTGGGGCTGCCAACTGATCTGCCAAGACTACTTCTGTCCCTGCTTTCCCTGCCAGCTTGGGACTCCAGTGCCCTGCCTGGTTTGACGCAGACCTGCTAGCCCGCTGCAAACCCAAACCCAGGTCTGAACCACGTCCCCTAACAGTTGTAGGCTTAATTGAAAGTAGGTTAAGAAGTGTTCCTGTCTTTAACACTCAGATGCTCAACTCCCAATGGGGCCCAAACCCCAAATAAATCCATTTTACCCTGTATAATGCTTATACAGGGTAAACTCATAAATTGTTTGCCCTCTATAACACTGAGAGAGAGATGCACAGCTGTTTGCCCCCCCCCCCCCAGGTATTAATACATACTCTGGGTTAATTAATAAGTAAAAAGTGATTTTATTAAATAGAGAAAGTAGGATTTAAGTGGTTCCAAGTAATGACAGACAGAACAAAGTGAATTACCAAGCAAAATAAAATAGAACATGCAAATCTATGTCTAATACAGTAATAAAACTGAATGCAGATAAAAACCTCACCCTTAGAGGAATTCCAGTAAGCTTCCTTTTACAGACTAGCCTCCTTCTAGTCTGGGTCCAACAATCACTCACACCCCCTGTACTTACTGTCCTTTGTTCCAGTTTCTTTCAGGTATCCTTGGGGGTGGAGAGGCTCTCTCTTTGGCCAGCTGAAGACCAAATGGAGGGGTCTCTCAGGGTTTTAAATAGACTTTCTCTTATGGGTGGAGACCCCCTCCTCTCTCCTATGCAAAGTCCAGCTCCAAGATGGAGTTTTGGAGTCACATGGGCAAGTCACATGTCCATGCATGACTCAAGTTTTTACAGGCAGCAGCCATTGCTTACCTGCTACCTTGAACTTCCTCATGTAGACTTCTTATGTGGATTGGAGCCTTCCAAGATCCATTGTCCCTTAAGTGCTTCTTGACTGGGCACTTAATTTGCACTTTCTCAAGAAGCTGACCAAATGCTTTACAAAGGCTACTTAAAAATCAAGCCAGTTCACAGCCAATATTCATAACTTCAAATATAAAACCAATACATGCATACAAATAGGATTAATAGATTCAGAAGATCATAACTTTTATAGAGATATGTTACATGGCATATGTAGCATAAAACATATTCTAATTATGTCATATATACATTCATAAGCATATTTCCATAAAGCCTTATGGGGGGCACAGTCACACACACATCACCTACTAGTAAATGGCTATTGGAAAAATATCCTCTGCTTGTCTTGCCATCTGTAGTGTGGGACTGATGACACACTCCTTCCTTTGAAATATGTGAATGAAAAGCTCTGGCTAGGAGGTAATCAAGCTATTCTGATGATGCTAACACATGATCCCAGTTTGCATATCCCTTTGAAATATACTTGTCTTGGTACAGCAACAAATTCTAATTCACAGTTACTGGGCAACTTGTTTATACTGCAGACCTTCCCTTCAGTGACTCCCAAAGGGCTCTGACCTCTAAGGGCAGAAATCTGTCCTGCAGACCGGGCCCAAACAGGGCTTAGCCCTGCTCCTGCTAACAAGGGAGCAGGGGAGCAGCGCGACACATGCTTGCAGCTGCTGGTGGGGTGAGGGGTGAGGTGGGGGAAGATTGCAGCTGAGAAGGGCCAGGTCAGGGTGCAGCAGGGTGGGGGAGGGGCAGGGTGCAGCTGGAAGAGGGATGGCTGCATAGGGTTGCCAACTTTCTACTCACACAAAACCAAACACCCTTGTCCTGCCCCATATCCTGCAGGAGATCTCTCGCAATCACCGATGGGAGATATAGGCCAGGAGACACTACAGCTCCCACACTGCACTGCTTCACTTCTCCTCAGCCCACCCAGGTTCTCAACCCAGTTTCTGAATTTCTGGTGACCTGCTCCCTGTGACGTCATGTCCCAGCCACAGACACAGGCTGAGAGACCCCCCCATAGCAGCAGGGTCCAGATGTAACCGGGGGGCGAGGTACCTGTGGAGGTGCAGTAAGTGCCCCGTAATCATCATTGCTTACCCTGGTGTCACACTAGCAGTCTGCTGTGTGCTGGCAGGTCATTCTTACTGCCCTAGGTTTCTGATTCACTGGCTTGTTTTGGCAGAAGTTCTTCCTGGGGTTCAGTTTATCAATGGTACTTTTCTCTCCATCTAAATAACATTACCAGTGGTCCGCGAGCTCCATTCAGGTGGTCTGTGGATAGTTCCCTCTAAGGTGTGTGCCCGGGCAGCCGCACACATAAGAATGAAGGGCCACCTAATTAGTGGAGCCAAACAGGCTTGGCTCCACTAATTAGGTGCCTAGACCCTGGAGAAGATGCACATGTAAGGTGAGGTGGTGGCCGTGGGCACATCCATCACATTAGAAGGTAAGACTACTGATATTAAAATATGAGTTCTGTGCTTTTATTTGAACAAAAAATATTAATTATTATAAGGTTTTTTTTATATAGTGTTTTTTATCCAAAGCGCTTTACAATAGTTAGCTAACGGTACAAACAAGATTTGGAAAGATCATTAAGTGGTCCACTGAGACCCTCAGCAATTTTCAAGTGGTCCGTGAAAAAAAAGGTTTGAGAACCACTGGTATAAACCATCATGAATTAGGCAAAGTTCATATGAAAACAGTTATAGAAAGCTCAGCAAACTATAGTAAAATGAAACTGGTACAAAAAAAAAAAAGAACTGCACCCATACACAGCTTTGTTCCCACACAGAACAGTATGTCATCTGCTTTCATCTTCCATTGCAGCAGCATTCTTTGAATTGGGACTTACATGGAACGGTTTGAGGGAGGCCACTCTGTATAGTATTACAGAGCAGAGCAAATGATGCAGCTTTTTTCTTTTTTAAGGAAATACATTATTATGCATTACAAATTTGCCACACTTCTCTAAACCATTATTGCTGCTTTTGGGATCTATTGTGAAAATATAGCTTACTGAAATAACACTTCAATCTAGTGCAACACTCACTGGAGCAACCGGACATGATGGAACTGAGATGGCTTAGCTGTTATTTATGTTTGGTAATCTAGTCTTTGTTTAAAAAAAAAAAAAGAGATGGGGGAAACTAGTATTCATGCCCAAAGAATGGAATGGCTTGTGATTCTTAGGGCATTTTATAGGCAATAGACCCTGTCTTGCAAGCGTTTCCAGCACACAAGTTCCCTTGATCTCAATGCAAGTGCCACATACAAGTTCTTTTTCGCAAGATCAGGCTCAGAGTATCCTCTCCAGCTTGGTAGCTGCTACTTCATTTTACTAAACAGTCAATTTATTTAAAGAAATCATAATGTGTGTTATTCATTGGGGGAAGGCAGAGAGAGAGAGAGAGATGAGGGGAAGGAGGGAGACAGAGCAAGACAACCAGCATGCAACAAGTTGCCTTTGTGTGGCAATGTTCTTATTGTAGTTCTGGTATTTCTTTTATTTTACAAGTAGTCCTAAGGAAGACCTCTGAACCTTGCCACATTTATGGTTTCAACTCTTAGCCAATAATTCCTTCGCTGACAACACTTTTTCAGTTTGCAGACCAGAAGTAGCTGTTGAAACAAACTGGTTACTCAAACTTCTTTAAATAATGAAGTTACAGGAACTGTCTCAAACCTTGCACAACAGAATTTGTAGCTAATGCTTGTCCCCTGAAATAGAGGGAGTGCAAAGAGAAGGATTTTTATTTACTCTAATACATTTAAGTTTTCAGGAGCAAGCTTTCAAGAATGAAATATAATTTGTAATAAAATCAAAGGGTTCTGATAACTTCAACCTTTACAAATTCATTGTCTTGTGAGAGTGCTGGTGCATGTATTTTTTAAGAAAAGTTGCTTCAATAGAAGAAAAAGGCGGATTAGTTGGATAGAGCCAATTCAATAACACCGACAGTGAGGGTTTCATATTTTAATTTATAGGACACATAGTTCCAACAAGAACAGGAGGACTTGTGGCACCTTAGAAACTAACCAATTTATCTGAGCATAAGCTTTCGTGAGCTACGGCTCACTTCATCGGATGCAACAGTTTGTTTTAGCCCTGTACAACTACCCTTTCATTCCAATATTATTTTTTCATGTAGCAAAATCAAGGATTGCCACCTGCTATTTATTTATTAAATAAAGCTTCTCAGAGTTGGGTATAACATCAGCATTATCATCATAGAAGACATGCTTTCATAGATGAAAGCATGCTAAATGGACTATTTAATGCAGTATTATATCAGTGGATCAGAAAGGCTATGCTACCTGCTTTTTTCTCCCTTGCAATGTAGTTATTTAAATTATCTGGTCTACTTTTCTAAGTTTATTTTGTGAAAGTGAATGTTCCAGAAGATGACATTCAAGTCTTGTTCTTTGATTAGTTTATTCAATTATTTTAAGCGGAAATTTAATATTTGAAATAAATGTTTTGGGCTAGTTGTAGTATAATCATATTTGGAAGTCATTGGCCAGTTATCACATCTAAAAATGGAATGCACAGTGTATGCTGCACCCAATAATCTGAAAGGTGCAGACACACACATGCACACACTATTTAGGGCATGGCTGCATTATGTAAACATAGTGAAAAACAATTTTTCAGAATTACTGTAGTTTTGTTCTAATATTCTGGTTTTGAGTTCCGCCGACCCTTTATTTTTTAAAACATTTTAATGGTAGTTTTGTAAATATTTCAAAATTGATTTAGTTACTCACACTGAGGTACCAAGCCACGTAAGAATATAAATATTTGAAATGATAGTATTTGCTCTTTAGAAAATAATCTAAGTAAGGTATTATGAATGTTTCCTCTTCTAGTGGTAAGAGAGAAGACTTTATAGTAATATACATGTATCAGAAAAGAAGTAAAAAAATATTAGGAATTGGACTAAAGTGTAAGATAGCATATGACCACATCTTTGCTTAATTAATTTCAGTGTTTCAACTTTAGTAAATTGTTTCTCAGTTTGTGGAGCTTCTGTATTAATTTCTTTGTTTGTTTGTTTAAGATTAAAGGCCCATAGTATTGTGCTGGGGAGTGGAATATCAGTTTTGATTTACAGTAGATTCTAATGTCATTTTTTTAAACAATATTATTGTCTTCACATCCTTCATGTTTAACAGTCATTCAGTAATTGAGAATTGTTACCAAAGGATAAGTGTCCCTGAGAGAGCAGTAGTTTGGTTAATCCCGTTATGAT